AGTTACATATTACAAGGAGGGAGCTGCACGCCGGTAGCTCCCTCCTTGTAATAAACTAAACGAACAAACAAACACTGATACATTGTGTTAGTTTGTTCGGCTGATCTTTCTATTCACTCATTCGTCTGTCTGATGAATGAATGAATAGATGAAATTCCCGTTCGCATTTCCAGGTGTTTCACTGGGCATGTGCGGGAATCTCACAGTCTGTCTAGTGTGGGCTGATGACGTGTCCCTGAGGGACTTCACCTACCCACACAAAGATGGCTGCGCCCTGAATATAGATCGGGGCAGAAAATAAAGATTTAAAAATAGGTAATGTGGGGGGCTTAGGGGCATTTGGGGGTGACTAGTGGGTCAATTGGATGTAGTGGAGGCGGGAGGGGGGTTAAAAAAAAAACAGAATTCGGCATGACAGTGCCGCTTTAAAATAAACCTATCCTAGTATGCCACAATGGCCATTACTGTAAGGGCAGTAAAAGAAATCCTCTCTCCTGTGGCCAATAATGTGAGCTAAATGCTTCCACTCTATCACTGAGTGGATATGAAACGGCTGACGGAGGGAGGGCAAAACGGCACAGTCCTGCGATCTCTTAAAGGGACACTATAGTCACCTGAACATTTTTAGCTTAATGAAGCAGTTTTGGTGTATAGAACATGCCCCTGCAGCCTCACTGCTCAATCCTCTGCCATTTAGGAGTTAAATCCCTTTGTTTATGAACCCTAGTCACACCTCCCTGCATGTGACTTGCACAGCCTTCCATAAACACTTCCTGTAAAGCGAGCCCTATTTAGGCTTTCTTTATTGCAAGTTCTGTTTAATAAAGATTTTCTTATCCCCTGCTATATTAATAGCTTGCTAGACCATGCGAGAGCCTCCTGTATGTGATTAAAGTTCAATTTAGAGATTGAGATACAATTATTTAAGGTACATCTGTTTGAAAGTGAAACCAGTTTGTTTTTTTCCATGCAGGCTCTGTCAACACAGTAAAGGAGTTTAAGCATGTGTGGGATAGGCATAAGGCTATCCTAACTATAAGATAAGGCTAGGGACTAATTAAAGTATTTAGAAAATTGGGCAGACTAGATGGGCCGAATGGTTCTTACCGTCACATTCTATGTTTCTATAGCCAGGGGAGGTGTGGCTAGGGCTGCATAAACAGAAACAAAGTGATTTAACTCCTAAATGACAGAGAATTGAGCAGTGAAATGATCTATACACTAAAACTGCTTCATTTAGCTAAAGTAATTTAGGTGACTATAGTGTTCCTTTAATAAGATAGTGCAATCTCTGCGGTTTCCGACCTTCTGGGAACAGCAGGGAGCGGCTGCCATCTTGGATGTGGCAATTCACAGCGGAACCCCAATTGTCTTCTCGTGTAACACCAATTGAGAAACGCTGGCCTAGAGTAAATATTACATGGCACACCCCCTTCCCACAAGTGTATCTTCCTTTCTGCAGTACACTGCGGCCAATGATGGACTGTAGAGCAGAGTTGATGGAACCAGGAGAACCAGAGACCAAAAAGTGATTTTTCATTAGTGGTAATATTTTTGGAGTTTTGCTCTCTAGTGGGTTTTTATTGGGTGGAAATGATAAATGCTATACAGCAGAGTAAGGAAACATTTAATGCTCGCTAATATTAGAAGAATTTGTTTTGTTTTATTTTTAAAAGGGTCAACAATAACAAAAACCCCTTAACTATGCCTGCCTCCCCTGTCGCATAAAAGTAATGTTACAAAATAAGCAATACAAAGGATACAGATAGAACTGTGGGACGAGACCACAAATTATCTTAATTTTATTTTTTCTTTGAAAGTTCACATTATTCGCTCCAGAGTTAGAACGGAGCTTCTCCCATGCCTGCACACAGAACAGGCAATCTAAAGTGAGCATCTGACAGTTCACAAGCCGCGCACTGTGGAAATATCCGACAGTCACAGACACTTCCCAATATACATGGAAAACACAAGGACTGACTAATTATTAGCGCCGTGTACCAAATGAAGGAATAAAACCAAAAACAGAAATGAATCACATAAAGAAAAATACCAGTCACACAAGCTTCTTTCGAGACACAAATCATAGGAAATATTTTGCACACAACACTAAAACAATGCATTTTTCTGTCCTACATGAAGAGAAAATACAACTTACATTGCTGTAAATACAATTTCCCCATATTTACAAGATCCAACTCCACAAAATGCATTTATAGATTAACAGGTCCCTGTTAAGTTCCGAGGTACTTACTAGTTTAGCGCTCTGCTCTGAGAATAGACAGTGCTGCCCGTAAGTGTGTTTCATTGATACTGGAGCCAGTCTGCGCAGACAGAGCAGCGTAACTATGTTAGGGGAAGGAGAGATTGTTCTGTAAGCATACTCAATTCCTGGCAAGGGGCCACGGCACTCAGGAGGAAAAATGGATTTCTGTAGATATAAATGGCTGAAATCATAAACTAATATGTTTTCTTCCATTTGCAGACGTCACTGGGATTATGATCCGACAGAACAGAGAAGGAGAGGGGAGCCGCTGCCTAACCAAGGGTCAGGAGGAGATGTAGTACCCAGCCTGCTGCTGGGAAAGTTCAAAACAAACGAAATAAAAAAGAAGATTGTGTATATAAAGCCATGGAATGAAAAAAAATATACAATAGCAAATTACAAAGATTTGATTAACCCCTTAAGGACACATGACATGTCAGGATTCCCTTTTATTCCAGAAGTTTGAGAGAGAAATCACCAACACACATACAATGAGTGGTTTTTATAATTACACAATTAGGCATAAAAGCAAAGCCAACCAACTGGTGTGTATAAGGTAAACTTACACCAGGGCTCTGACTCCATACAGGACAGTGAAATGAACGAGACGTGGATCTCGATTCACCCCTGTTCCCAGTTCCCATGTTTTTAGAGCGCGTTACCTGGTGGGGATAGGCTATGAGATGCAGTGGAATAGAATTAAGACATTACCCATTATGGAAATCCCATCCGCTCTCCTAAAATAAAAGAATGTGACAGCCGGCAAGACGACAGGAGCAAACATGAAAACCACGGAAATGGAACCAAAATGCTGCCACTTACTGACCATTTGGTGCAGTAATTGTGTTTTGATGCCCCACCCCTAAAATATTCTCCAGAACAGGCTTTGGGGCAGATTTATCAAAGTGTCTTGCCCTGACAAACTGTGCAAAGTACTATATGTACATGGCGGTTACCATGGAAACCAGCAGGAACATTGCAGCGTTAACGCCTCCCCTTTTACAATTCTGCGCCACTTTTCAGAACAGAATACTTTGCTAAATCTCCCCATTGTTTACTGGGTATGAACGGTCACAAAAAGGGTGACATGTTCTCTTTAAATTGGTCCTGGGTGAGAAGTATAGCACATGATAAAAGTAGAGGGCCACAGACAGACACAGGGAAGGATTTCCTGGGATGAGAAAACCAGGCTTAATGTAGGGAGATAGCGCCTTTTCCGAAATAATTCCTTCACCCACAGAATTCGTTCATCCTTCCTGTTTCCTTTAAAAAGACTACAGTCAAAATCTCGCCTCCTAAAATCTATCACAATATTCACACACATAAACCTAGACTCCGGCCACAGCCATCCAGATACGTAAACCTAGACTCCGACCACAGCTGGATAACAACCCACAAGAGGCCACTTATCTGTGATAAATACAGCAATGTGACAATCTCCATGCAGCATTGCGTGTCCCCCAGCAATACGTCTAACAGAATGAAACCAGTCTGCAGACCCTCACCAGAAGCGCAGGATATTCAGAATAAATCATTTATACTAGAATTAGAAAAGGATTTGGTTTGAATGTAATACAATATACAGAGCGGCTTTCTGTAAAATAAACCATTCTAGTGAAACAATCCTCAATTCTGGACAAATTTATTAAAAGAAATGTAAAAGTAAAGGGGTGGGGAGTGTATCCACAAAACATTTTAGTTTTCCCAAGTAAGACTTTGTGATGCCATCATTTAAAGGGCCTTTTGTTCAACGTCTGATATTGATGTACTTTACTGGAATAGCTTATTTAGGATTGTATTCATATAGTCATTAAAAGGCATCGCAGATTGACATTAGAGGCACTGAGCCTGAAGAAGAGAGATAGATATATATATATATATATATATATATATATATATATATAAATAAAAAGAGAGAAGTCTGTCATTCCACCATGTATTCGAAGACAAGGCATGGTCAGTTTCACGTGTGCAGAGAAAGTTCTAATAAAGAAATGTCAGCCCCAAACAACTTCTACGCATTAGACTGAGCATACGATTTGATCTATACATAGTGATAGCAAATGTATAGATCGGGAGAAAAACCTATGTAAAAATAATTTTTCCCCCCTAGCTGTCAGTCAGTGCTATGCCTTTCCATAAAAGGTCCCCTCTGCTCGCCACCCATAGCACCCCTTTGTTCTGACTTTATGGACTAGATTTGCGTCACAGGGCAAATTAAAGAAGACGCAAGACAGCCTGGAGGTGGGTGTTTCACGAAAGGGAACACCGACAAAACTTGAAGATGGTGACACTTAAACAGAGGGAAAGTGAATAGGTCTCTATTTTTTACATTGAATACACCATGTATCGGTGTGATCTATGGCATCAATTTTATTTTCTCTATCACCAGCAGCACTGCATGCAGGTCTGCAATTAAGGAGACACACGTTCCTATTCACTCACCATAGTGGGACCAAGACCAAAATTGTCATCCCAACCCCTTACATAGCATTTGTGGTTCCCAACAATGGGTTTTAGATTCACGTTTTATAACAGTGATTTTATACTCTCCTAATGGTCCCTTAATTGGCCATTTAAAAGTCTAGGAGTTATTTGTAATCAAACAAAAGGAGGGAGAAACATAAAATTATATATAACATTACACACACCTCCCCCAACATAGCTGAATTACACAGTGTATATTCTACACACGGACCACACACAGTGAATTGAGAGAGAAATGACAAGAACTTGATAGTTATCACAAGACTGATGTATCCTTATTGCAATATTTCCCTGAATTCCAACACATGGGATTAACGCAGTTTAGGAAACAAGGACTGAGCTGATACTCCGAATGCAGGATGTGCGTTTAGTTTCCTGGATAATTAACCCCTTGTTACATAAAAGTCACATCTCTAGTCTAAAAGTGCCAAAAGTGATAACCAAGAGTCCCAAACAATGCAGCATAATATAAACAAGTATTTCAGAAACAGAATAATACGTTCCAAATTTAGAAAAACGCAGTAAAAACGACTGATACAAACATAACCTCAAAATAGCATTGTCTCTGAAACGCGCCACGTTTCTTACAAATAATCTAGAAGCCAAAAGGGACACAGCTGCTAGTTTTAGGAATGGAATGATTTTAAAAGCTCTTTGTTTTTGTTTCTGTGAAAGCAGTTGAAATTGACTCTTCCAATCTTCGCAGGGATCATTTATTTAGCTCTGGTATCCCTCGCCTCTCACACAGTTTTCTTATGCTATCTGGTCTTTCTTTGGTCATATATTGAGATGGTTTTTGAGAACCTGTATCTTTTTTCTCTCCATGATTATATTTGATTGTTTTGTGTTCACTGTATATTTATTATCGCCTTTTTTTTGTATATATTGTAGTGTAGTTGGTTTATTTATCCAGTCAGCAAATGTGCTCATTAATGTATGGATATAGATTTAGCGAATATTATTTTTTAATTTTTATGGGATATGCTCTATCACAGACTGCTGTCAGAAGGCCTATATTTATTGATCAAGGGGGAAAAAAAATGGCAAAAGAATACGTTCCATACAAAGTGAGACTTTGCCAACAATTAAGGCAAAACTGTCCCTTTAAGTGGCTGATCACCTGAGGAGAAGAATGCAACCGCCCAGAAAGTCAATTCGTATTACCCACAGAAATAGCAAGCACTTGCAACATTCCCCACAGCCGAGCACAAACTACAGAAACAGCATAATGAAACAAGGCCAATTTCCAAGCTCACACTTTTTATGGTGATTGGGAAGGGGTATGGATGGGTTAGGCTGAAATAGTTTTAGTAATCCACCTCCCAATTTCATATAAAACACTCAGCCAGCCTCTCGTGTGCTTGTACAGAGTACAGACATGACAATGGCAGCTGTCGCAAGACGCCATGATTGTATGTTTGATATAAATACCAATACAATAGATTGTTTTATAGGACAATTCTGTATTTATTAAAAAAAAAATTCTGGTAATTACTTCTGTTATAGAACACTCCCAACACCATTACCACTAAATCTGTTACATAAGAAGCTCTCTTTAGACCACTTTACTGTGCTAGAATACTTGAACAATTCTTTATCAGGTATTATCTGCATCGTATATACAGTGAGATAACCCAAACACAATTAGGACCATTTCAGTTCTGCATTCTGACAATTTTACACAGGCCAGACAGATCATGCCTGATACAGCTCCATTATTTAGAAATCTCCCCAGTGAGTTTACAGCAAGTTACAAGTGTTTGTGTCAAACTTCCAAACAGCAATTTTTTCAAAGCTGGAAAAATGCTACAATGTCAGTAAAAGGAGCTTTCTATAAAGCTAAGATAATACACAGCAGATTCCAGTCATAGCACAGAATGGGAATACACTCCACAAAGCTCTGCAAGATTAACAGAGTTATTCACGAAAACGGAATTCCAAGTGACGTTCAAGGAGACATTCATTTTAGCTTGCTAAAGTAATTTAAGTATTTAGAGTTTAAGAACTTCATTTTACAAAAATGTGGCAAGTTCAAAAGAAACTGTCACTTCTATAAATTAACCTTGTACACTCCCCTGTTATTCATACAACCGGTCCTGTTACTTCCTGGTTTGTTAAAGAGACACTATAGTCACCAAAACAACTTTAGCTTAATGAAGCAGTTTTGGTGTATAGAACATGCCCCTGCAGCCTCACTGCTCACTTCTCTGCCATTTTGGAGTTAAATCCCTTTGTTTATGAACCCTAGTCACACCTCCCTGCATGTGACTTGCACAGCCTTCCTAAACACTTCCTGTAAAGAATAATTTAAAAAGTTTATCCTTCCTTTATTGCAAGTTCTATTTAATTTAGATTTCTTATCCCCTGCTAGGTTAATAGCTTGCTAGACCCTGCAGGAGCCTTCTGTGTGTGATTAAAGTTCAACAGAGCAGGAGATAAAATTAAGGTAAATTACATCTGATCGAAAACGAAACCAGGTTTTTTTTCCCCATGCAGGCTGTGTCAGTCAGGGGAGGTGTGACAAGGGCTGCATAAACAGAAACAAAGTGATATAACTCCTAAATGGCAGTAAATTGAGCAGTGTATCTATACACCAACACTGCTTCATTAAGCTAAAGTTGCTTAGGTGACTATAGTGCCCTTTAAGCTCAGTGAAGATAAATTCAAGAGTCTGCAGTTACACAGAGCACCTTCTTTGCAAAGAAGTCTGTGATTGGACAGCCACAGACCGTGTGGGTGGGGTTAGAATGGGAGGACTTACTAATACAGAGCGCGCCCGCCATTACCGTTAATTCAGGGAAGTTTACCAAAGAAGAAGGAAAGCTCCCGGACTGATTGAAAGCCAGGGAGTGTCATTTTTTATAAAAGTGCAGGTTTCCTATCACCATCTCCTCACCCATATTGTACTTCAGCAAACTGAGGAGTGGTTCTTTAACTTTCAAATTCACTTTGAATTCCCAACAATTCTCTTTAGTGAGTAAACCTGCAATATATGAAGATATAGATATATATTAAAAAGGCCAATAACAGCCCTTCCATTGGTATAGTTTGCAGGAGGAGGAGGGAACACGTTTCCGATTTATAATATATACATTTGATGGCTATTTCACAGTTCAATATATGGAATAATCCAACATGCAGGCATCATAGACTTTCTGATCCACAATGTAATCAAATTCATAAACAGATTTATAACCAGTACTGAAATACAGCTGGTTATAGAAAGGGGAGAGGTGCGTGATACCAAGTTATATAGTGTTTCCGGATTTGAGGTGTGCCTACTGCATTGTTGGCAGAATATAATTGGACTATCCTATTCTAATATTGCAAGAGATAGAGGAAAGCAAAGATATGAAGTGTATTAGCACACAGCGTGCACAACAGATGACAGAGCACGAACAGGCGATATATAGTAATAACAGAACACACTAAACACACACCAACACCTGCAGAAATTGATTTATACACCAACAAGATTAAAGTTCTAAAACAAACTCCTTCATGTGACAGCCTACAGCCGCAATACCTAATCCAAGGAAAAACAGTGGGGAGATGTATTTACTAGAAGATACTCTGTATTCAACAATTGCAAGTAAACCCACTTATTCACAAAAAGCTAATTCAGCTATTTGGACTCGGATCTGGATGCCCCTCATTTACATATTAAGGTCAGATGAATCCCTTTAAAAACACATTTGTCTACAAACACACAAAAAGGGGGAAGAATTTTTATAAAAATACTTGAATTACCATGTTGAAATTTCCTCCAAATTCAAACCCAGTGAAACCATATGCAGAGTGTAAGGACTACATTGTCTCAATATTTCTCCTCTGCCTGCCACTGCTTGATACTGGGGCGAGCTACCACTGTCAAGCTTGTTATTTCCCCCACACATTACGAATGACAGTTGCAGGAAAATTAGACCTATTTATGAAGTCTCGCGAGATCCTCCATAGGCTGCAATATATATCTACATATCTCTATATGTAAAAAAGCAATATCACGCATGCGGCACTTGCGGGTTTCACGGTACTCCGATCGTTTACTCGGAGTACCGGAGTAACCTTTGCTCTAGGTTAGTCACTTACTCTTAATTTACAGATATTAAACAAAATGTTATGTATTGCCATCTTGATGAAGACCGCCAGGTCGAAACATTGATCCTTATTGGCAACATTTGAACACACTAACTTCATTGGAAATCCATTGGGTGCCCTCATCTTTATAGTGTGTGGGGGGTGTATGTATATATTTATATAGGGAGGGGGTGTATATATTTATTATAGGGAGGGGGTGTATATTTATTATAGGGGGTGTATATTTATATGGGGGTGTATATATTTATATAGGGGGGTGTATATTTACATAGGGGGTGTATATTTATAGGTGGGGTGTATATTTATAGGTGGGGTGTATATATTTATAGGTGGGGTGTATATATTTATAGGTGGGGTGTATATATTTATAGGTGGGGTGTATATATTTATAGGTGGGGTGTATATATTTATAGGGGTGTTACTTATAGGGGGTGTATATTTATAGGTGTATATATTTTATAGGTGTGTATATATTTATAGGTAAGTATATTTATAGGGGTGTATATATTTATAGAGGTGTATATATTTATAGGGTGCATATATTTATAGGTGGGTGTATATATTTATAGGGGTGTATATATATTTATAGGGGTGTATATTTATAGGGGTGTATATATATATAGGGTGTATATATTTATAGGGGGTAAAGTATAATATTGGGGTGTATATATTTATAGGGGGTGTATATATTTATAGGGGTAGTATATATAATAGGTGCTATACTTATAGGTGTATATATTTATAGGGTGTAAGTATATTTATAGGTGTATATATTTATAGGGTGTGTATATATTTATAGAGGGGTGTATATTTATAGGTGTATATATTTATAGGTGTATATTATAGAGGGGGGTAAGTGTATATATTTATAGGTGTATATATTTATAGTAGTGGGTGTATATTTATGGGGTGTGTATATTTATAGGTGTATATATTTATGGGGGTGTATATATTTATGGGGGGTGTATATATTTATAGGGGGGGTGTGTATATTTATAGGGGGTGTATATATTTATAGGGGGTGTATATATTTATAGGGGGGGTGTGTATATTTATAGGGGGTGTATATATTTATAGGGGGTGTATATATTTATAGGGGGGGTGTATATATTTATAGAATGTTATATTTCAGTCAGGCTGCTCTCACCCCCCGGTGTCTCTGTCTCGGTGTCTCTCCCTCTCCCGGTGTCTCGGTTCTCCCCCCGGTGTGTCTCTCTCTCTCTCTCTCTCTCTCTCTCTCGGGTGCGGCCTCCCAGCTCTCCCCGGCTTCCTGTTTCCGCCCCTCACTCAGTACGGCTGCCGGGGAGGGTCAAACTGCGCAGAGAGCGCAACTACGGAGTCCGGGAGGGGCACGCGGCTCTGTGCGGGAATAGAGAGTGCGCATGCGCAGAGCGTGCTGGCAGCTCAGATCTAACACATAGCTCCCAAGTGTCCCTATGTAGGAGGCACAGTCCCTATTGATCCACATCCCTCTTTTTTTTTTTTTTTATAAATCTTTATTTTTGTTGCGCATTTGCTTAACATAGTCGCTTGAGATGCCCCAACAGCTGTCTCAGGCTTCAAACAGAAAACATGAATAAACATTTGGCATTGAAATACTTTGCACAATTTTAAATTAGGAAAGTAAGTTCCCACGTTACATCATTCTAATTAGAATTATCGCTAGATCGCCATAGTCTCCTGTTTAGAGGAAGAAGTTGTATGAATATAGTATAATCTGTACATCCAGTATGTGTGTAGGGTTCTGAATAGCTATTCCTCATCCCATGTTAGTGATTCGAAATATGTACTATGGCGATAAATAATTTTGCCCCACTCCTTGTTAGTGTGGCTCTGTTTGGGGGTCCCAGGTTCTGCCTCGCTTTGTGTGGGCGTACTTAATGTCAGCCCTGGGTTGTCCCATGTGTTTAAGTGGTATTCGTGCGGTATCAAGCGGTTAGTGGCCCCTAACCAGGGAGGCCGCGGGGTGGCGGAATATACCAGCGGCCTATTGTTGGCCCTAACCTAAGAGTGTTTTGCCGTGTAGTGTGCTACTCGTCGTGGCTATAGCGGTGTGCAGTATTTTTGCCATTACGTGGATTATATAATCCTGGGAAACATAGTGTGCCTTACAGTGGTGCCTAGGTGCAAAGCCTTAAACAATTAAGAAAAATCAAGTCGAAAACCAGTGAAAGACAAATTATAGCGAAAAAATAATTATAACGGCAGAGGCTTCGTAGGTGAAGCGCGTTTATGGGTTGAGAGGCAGTCAGTGGTGTCAGGTGGTTGCCTCAGGGGCTCCTCTTCCCCTCGGTAGAAAAGGGACAGTCCTGTTGGGGTCCCACATATGGGAGCTGGCGGGTACTTCTGTGTGGTCAGATCCTTGTGGTAGTCCCAGTGCCCTAAGGAAAGAGTCCACCTCCTGAGTGGAGTTGAGGTGTAGAGTGGTGCCGTTGTGGTCCACCGATAGTGTTTTTGGTGCAGTCCAGCGGTATACTAACTTGGCATCTTGGAGGCGGCGGGTCATAGGGCGCAGGGTTCTTCTCCATTGGAGTGTGGATCGTGTCAGGTCCTGATAAAAGGTAAGACTCGCGGTTTCAAAGTCCAATGGTGTTTTGCCTTTTAGGGCAGCGAAGATGGCATTTCTGTCTGTTTGGGTATGGCACCGTACGATCACATCTTTGGTTGCTTGGGGGGGTGCCTGTGGCGATTTCCGGATGCGAAATATCCCTGCTATAATCCATATCCCTCTTTACTAGGGTTGATATCAGTTTATACAGTTCAGTTAAACGAATCAGTCAGTGTCTGTCGCTATTGTCAGAGACACAGACCATGGATGCGCAGACCATGACCCAGCGCTCTCCAGGGAAGGGGAAATCAGAGCGCAATATTTTTACTTCTTATGTGTTGTCCGTCAAGCCCAGACATATTGCACTATTAGGTCGCTCGGTCTTTCCACATACGGAGACTGAAGAGACCCAGACCTTCCACATCCCCCCAAGTACAAGGAACCCAGAAGCCACAGTTGCATTTATTTATTTTATATGTGATATATCTTGCACAACTGGGACAAGATTTGAAGTACTGCTTTCGGTGGCACAGCCCTTGTCTATTTGTTTCCCTTTTTCATTACGGGATTTCTGCTTGGTTTTATATCAGTAACTGGCACCTGGGCTTTAAACATCGTGATTAAATTCTGAATCCCCATTTTAACACAGACAGATCCTAAGGGGCTAATCCCTGTTTTATATTCTAATGTCCCTCTTTTCTAGGAGCTCCATATTGTTAGTGTGTCTCCACAGCTATAATACTCTCAGAGTCTCAGTAATGGATCTTTTAGCGCAATCACTGTGTTTAGAGATCAGTCTGTGGAAATAAGATACATTGTTCTAAATTTTAATTTAGTTTGCCAAATTATTCACAAAAGGTCTGTCATGCTCCTGAGCAGGTCAGAGAGGAGACGATTGCAAGGGTTATTGGTTAAAACTTTGTCGTATTAGACATAAATTTACTGAAATAAAGGGCAGTCTGCCACAAACAGCATACTTTGTGAGAAAAACAGGGTTTAGGCGATATGCCACAAACAAGATCTTTAGAAAGTAAATGAATAAAGTCTTTTGTATACAAGCAGGCTTGAAGTGATACCAAGTAGTTAAGGATTTCCAGGATAGTTTGCAATGCAGCTAGTTATAGGTAAATACCTTTTTAGGATAAGACAATACAGGATCATGCAGAGTTGCAGAGGTTGAAACAGGTAGGAAACCTAACAAGGTCCTATCAACTAGACTGAAGTTCATCCTGCCAACATTGATCCATGCAGACCAGATGGGGTTTATCCCTGGTCGAGAGGCACGGGATAGCATGTTAAGACTTTTCACTATACAACATCATGCGATGAAAAGGAGCCACTTTAAGGAGTATGGGACTGGGGGCAAGATTGCTCACATGGATCACTGCTTTATACAGCAAGCCAAGTGCATTGGTGAGGGTCAACAGGGCCTTGACGGACAATTTCGACATTAGCAATGGAACGAGGCAAGGTTGTCCCCTTTCCTTGGGACCGCTACTTTAGGCTATACATCGGAATTCCGATATTCAGGGCCATACCTGGCAGGGGGTAGAAAATAAATTTGCTGTCTACGCAGATAATCTTTTCTTCGTATCAAACCCATGGATCACACCATCATTCAAAAGATTTGGCATATTTGGCTTCCAGCTCAACTTCTCGAAGTGCGAGGTTCTGAATGTCACACTCCCTTCTGCAGATTTTGCGGCTTTAAACTCACTGTTCCCGTTTCATTGGTGCTTTGGTAAAATCAAGTATGTTGGTATCTGGGTGACAACGGAACCGCAAGACTTATACCAATGTAACTTCTTACCCCTGCTGAAAACATTGTTGGCTGACTTGGACAGGTGGGCGTACCCCCACATGTCATGGCATGGGCGGATACCAGTGGTCAACTCCAGGCCACCCCGCTGGCCTTGCCAATGACCTTTTTATCCTGTTTGAAAACAGCAGTTGTCAGATATGTATGGCTGGGGGGGAGGGGGGAGGAGCGATCGCGGTTGCGCCACAATCTGTTTTGCTTGCAAAGATTCGGGGGGGGGGGTCTGGCATTACTCGATTTTTAAAAGTATCATCAGGCCATGGTTATGCAGTGAATCCTTGAATTGCACTTGTGTTCTCCACAAAAACAGTGGGTAGCCCTTGATGGGGGGGGGGAGAATATTGGAGTCGGTGGTATGGCTGGGGGGCTCGGAGGAGCTAGAACACATGGACAGGATGGCTCCGGTATAGCAAGCACTCTGCTTGTGGCAGATGCTTTGTGAACAACCACATATCTCACCTACACCTAGTCCCCTTCTTTTGGTGACAAAGAGCAAACTGGGGGGGGAGACTCATCGAGAGCTTGGTCCTTTCTAGGGCAGGGAGATTATATCCTGAGTCATAGAGTGTTGCAAGATGGGAAACTACGTGACCAGGACTCATTATTGGAAGATAGACCACAGATGTCCTTAAACTCCCTCCGATATATAGAACTGAAACATTACTATAGCACTCTTCCGCATAAAGAACAATTACACAGAGAGCTAACTTGGTTTGAGGACCTCTGCTCGCAGGGCTCGACGCTTTATCAATATCTACTGGTAGGGTTTAGATCAGTAAACAACACTTTACAAATGCAATGAGAAGATCTCATGAGCAAGACCTTCTCCGCAACGTATTGGGAAAAAGTATTACTATGTCAACATAAGAGCTCCATCAGCTCCCAGTACAGCGGAGAAATTTTAAACTGATCTCCCTTTGGTATAAAACACCGACCCTTCTTCATAGTATTTTCCCTACAGTTCCCCCCACGGAAATGTCAAGCAGAGAGAGGGACAATGATACACATCTGGTGGGAGTGCCAAAACATTGTTCCGTACTGCCAGATGGTGAAAGACGTAGTAACTGAAATCTTAGGGAACCCGGTCGAATGGTCAGCCGAGCTCGCTTTACTACATTTGTCATCAAAGCCTATATTAGTTTATTTAAAAAAAAAATCTATTTTGCACCACTTACTTAATGCTGCCACGGCCCTGGTCCCAGCCTTCTGGAAGAGGACCGAGGTCCCCACGAGAGAAGACTGGCTGCATAGTGTTGAGGATATACAGGTGGCGCAGGCGCCTCATGGTTCACTAACTGGGGGGGGGGGGGTTCCAGGCATTCAGAGGCTCGTGACTTTATTACGAGTCGTGGGGGACCTGCAGGGAGAACCTGCATTATATCTTCCTTCCTATCCGCCTGTTCTCGATCTATCTTCACCATTTCTACTGTCCTTCAGAGCAGGCCTTAACTCTAAGTGACATAGCATCTGTCTCGCAAGCAAACACATGGGGATACCCCAGACTCAGAAGGAAAACATAATTGTGATGTCGGGAGGAAAATCCCCAACTACTAAGTGTTCTATCACCCTTTGCCGAATGTGGAGGTACATATTCACTGAACAAATTATGACGTAAATGGAGGCTGTGCGTTCAAACATAGAGCTACGTGCTATGATCCGTCAGCTTTATTTGGAGAGGCCTGCGTGCTCTCTCATGTATACTTTTTATAGGTACATCTTTAAAAACAAAATAAAACACAGATTTACAAAAAAAAATTTATAAAAAAAAAAAAAGTTATTTAGTTGTATAAGTTATTAGTAAATTGGGTACAATTTCTGAGACATGCAAACCTCTCAAATATCCCAATATCGGTGGGACTGTCCTGATTTTCCGGTGGTATCTCACCATCCTGACTTTGTACCTTGGTGTCAAACGGGAACTGTCCCAAGCATAGACACTGCATTGCTTCGTGGTAGTGAAGCAATGCAGAGACAAAGTACTGAAACTGTGA